CTCGTGGGGGAGCTGGCTCCCGGAGATTCATTTTTCCCGACGGGGTTGGTCAGGTGGTTGGATTTCGGCGGCCAAATTGCGTCCATGAAACGAGTCTCTAAGGCTATGGATGATATCCTGGAGAACTGGATAGAAGATCATAAACAGAGGAGGAGATCCGGCGGGGAAGAGGATGATCGGGATTTCATTGACGTCATGCTTTCTGTGATTGACCAGAAATTCGAGTCCGGCGGCCATTCTTATTCACGGGAAACCATCATGAAGGCAGCATCGCTGGTATGTTACTCCGTTTTCCATATGAATTTTAAAAAGTTTCTTGTGGACGTCATGTTGAATATTGAAGTTGTATCCGTATGTTTTATCTGTACTAGGAAAACACAAGACATTAATTATATTCTTCCGAAGTCAACCTACAAATTAAGGGGGTGTTTGGACCGTTTGAGTAAAAATGCAATACTACTTTCAGTGCTCTAATTTATTTTTTAGAAACGGGAGGAGACCGGCTTCTGAAAACTGATTATGATTATTCTTCTGCTTTAAAAAAGAAGCAGAAGCAGAGTCAGTTCCAAACACCCCTAAATGTGTTAAACATTCTAAATGGAGTTTCGAACTTGAGACTTCTCATATGTGAGAGTGAATCGAGAACCATCGAGATGGACCGGTTCCCCATATTTTTATCTAAATGTTGGTCATACATTAGACTTAATTAGTACGAAAATGAAAACATAAGATATGAATAATATACATGTAACATGAGACATAATATCACTGTTTACTAATAAATTAAAATAATTAATAGATGTCAAAGTTAAATTAATAAATATCTCTAATTTGCCTAATCCTTGATATTGACAAAGAGCTTGATAGCTCATCTAAAACCTAATGTTATTCTAAAGAGAATTCAAGTGAAAAGTCAGGGAAAGAAATTCATTGATTTACATTTATTTAGAGGGTGTTTGGATCTGATTCTTAAAACTGCTTCTGCTTTTTCAAAGATTCTATATTAGAGGTTTCTAGAGAGAAAAAATATAAAGAGGTTTCAAGGAATGATCAAAGAGTCAAAATATATGTAAAGCTAGAGAGGAAATCTAGAGAGAATAAAATGAAAGGTTGTAAGTTTTAGAGTTCTTTGACTAACACTAAATCTGATTGTATCTGGTAAAATTGGTGAATGAGTTAAAACTATTGAATTATAAAAAAGTATTTAAAAATAATCTATTTAAAATTTAAAATGTAAGGAAAAGGTATAAGACTATAAGAGAAATAACCAAAATAGTCTTGTTCTGTAAAATTGACGAATTCAATAGTTTTGACCTTACTTTGATTATTATGCAATTTAAGCACATCAAATCTAAAGTCATCATATAATATAAAAAGCTATTGATTGTAAGACTGATAGGTCTGAAATAGTGATTGTCATTTGTCAAAGGTGCACATTTATGGTACCCTATCTAAAAGTGATAATATCATAACTATAAGAGATATGATTGATTCACATTATTATTTGATCATATGTCTATACCTCGATATTTTTATGGTTTAAGGGCTCTAATCTTGCTTGTTTGCTTTGATTTAAATATCCTTATGCTTCCATGCTTTAACTACTTAATCTGCTTTCATACATTCACCTGTGAACCAAATGTGAAATTGGTCACACATCATTAAAGTTGGAGAGTAATGAACTTGAAAACTAAAGACTAAAGTTTATGGTACATGGATGCTCTGTTCAATTTCTGTACAGAGTATGTTAGAAGATGCGGCGGACACATTGGGCCTGAATTTGGAATGGGTTTTATCCTTACTATTGAACAACCCGCTGCCAATGAAGAAAGCCCGAGAAGAGATAGACACCATAATCGGCAGCAATGAAAGATGGGCCGACGAATCCGACATCAGAGAAATGGTGTACCTCCAAGCCGCCGTCAAAGAAGCCATGCGCTTATACCCGGCTGCGCCTCTATTAGTTCCCCACAGAGCCATAGAAGATTGTACCGTCGGTGGGTACACGGTCGCGAAGGGCACCGTTCTGTACGCCAACGCCTGGAAGATACACCGGGACCCGCGGGTTTGGCCGGAGCCGGAGAAGTTCTCGCCGGAGAGATTCCTCGGGGCGGGAAGTCTGGATGATCGAGAGGCTGCTCCGGGTAGGCATTTTGGGTTCATTCCGTTCGGGATCGGGAGACGGTCGTGTCCCGGAATGTCGTACGCGAAGAAAGTGACGCATCTCACCGTTGCCCGTTTGCTTCAGGGGTTTGACGTCACAACTCCGGGGAATGTTCCGGTGGACATGGGGGAGGGGCAAGCCACCACCCTGCCTAGAGCGACTCCATTGGAAGTGCATATTACTCCCCGCCTACCTTCTTCTTTTTATCGATTAGTAGTTTAAGGGTCAAATACATAAATGGTACTTAAGTATTGAGATTGTTGTGGTTTGATATGTTAACTATTAAATGAATCAAAATAGTGCCTTAATTATGCATAAATATTTCAAATTAAGATTTTTTACAAATTTGCGGTCAAAAAATTACACGTGGTGGCCGGAATTCTATGCGTAAAGTCTATCTACTTCACATTATTTTTTCCATATGATCACTGTAAGGTGACTCTACACATGAAATTTTGATCGTCATGAGGAATTTTTTTGCCGCAAATTTGAATAAATCTCAAGTTTGAAACATTTATGTATAGTTATGGTACTGATTTGATTCATTTAAGAGTTAAGATAACAAACTGCAACAATAACAATAGTTACGGTATCATTTATGCATTTGACCCTAGTTTAAGTGGCAAGTCGCTTCTGGTGTGTTTCATTATCAAGTTATATTTGGATGCAAGTGTGTACCTTCCTGAATTGGTGTTGGCACAATCTGCCATGTTTATTTGCAAAAAAAAATGTACACTTGTTTATTTTTTCTGCCATGTTTATTTGCTTATCATAAGAAGGGTGGAGCTTGGTGTACACAAAATTCACTTGTTTGTCCCTCACAGATAAGTTGTCTGTCCGGAGATGAGTTGTCCGTGGACTTGTCTGTCATCGCTTTTAATTATTTCAGACTTTGTGTGCCTCATCCAATTTGTATAATTTTTTAATATTCATGTCTTTTGGAGGTCAACAAACTTCTCTGGCTGACGGTACATTCCTAGAAGCCCTTCAATGCTCATAGTCTTGTTTTATCTACCCTTCAAATACTTCAGAGAAAATGGAAACTAGAAATCTCATTTTTAATCGGTTTTCTTATAAAGTCTCATTTAATCGTAATTTAGGAATACTTTCACATTTGCACCCTTTAATTTTTCATTGAACTCTGATCGATTAATGACCTATTTTCTTTTATTTGGAAATCATTAAACCATAAATCTCACTTCCTACAAATCTTCTAAAAATAGTCCCACATGTAATTTTTCTTTTATCTTTCTAAAAGTTTTCTCTCTTTTCTCTTTATCGTCACAATACTTTTATTCATTTTTTACTTTTCATTTATTTACCTTGTTTATGTATTCCTTTATCCGTTTACCATTAGATTGTTTTTATAGAAATTTCTTAAGTAGTTTTTCCTTTTTCTATTCTCCTCCATTTTTATTTTCTTTACATTTAAGTATTCCTATTCGTTGTAGCCTCTTTTTATAAGTCTATCTCGGCTACTTGTTTATTTTTCCTTTGCCCCCAGAAAAGAAAAATATATATTAATGGTGGAATCAAGGTAAGAAAAGGAAAATGAAATCAATAAGTTGAAGAAAGAAGAAAGTAAAATAAAAAATAGTAGGGTGAGAACTTTTATATATATAAAATACTCCCTCCGGTTTTTAATAAACTTCACACTTTCCTTTTTGGGACGGTCTAAAATAAACTTCACACTCCCTTATTTCCTTTTTTGGCAAAGAAATCTACATCCAAACAGTGTCAAACAGTGTCTCTACAGTGCCAAACAGTGTCAAACAGTGCCTCAACAGTGTACTTTACAGTAAAGTCAAATTTCTTTCTTTATTTTGTGAGAAGTCAAACTGTGAAGATTAAAAAAACGGAGGTAGTACATAAAAATGGAAATGAAATAATAAACAGGACGGAAAAAAAGAATGAGAAAATGGTAAACATAAACATGGCAAAGAAATAAAAATAAGAAGGCTAAAGGGTCAAATAGATACATGAACTAACTTAAAGTGTTCAATTAGCCCCTTATATAGGAGGTTCTGCCTGGCCGTCGCCAATTGGGGCGGTTCCCGGTAGAATTTTTTGATGAAATTTTTTTTAGCATCTTCTTCATTAAGTCTAGTTTACCCATATCAAATTTCAGCTAAAAATTAAATCGGGAAGGCAGTCAAATGATTTTCCGAAATGTACTGCGTTGTTTAACTGCGCAGTTATCTTCAAAAAATCATTTGACTTCCTTCCCGGTCAAATTTTTAGCTGAAATTTGGTATGGGTAAACTAGATTTAATGAAGAACATGATCAAAAAATTTCATCAAAAAATTCAATTGCAAACCGCCCAATTGGCGTGGGCCGGACAGAACCTCCTCTATATAAGGGACTAATTGAACATTTTAAGTTAGTTCATGTACCTATTTGACCCTTTAGCCAAATAAGAATAGGAAGACAAAAAAAGGAATAAAAGAAAAAAATGATATGTGAGAACGTTTGAAGCAGATCATCAATTGATCAATGACTGGTGAAAAAAGATGGAATTCAAAAGTGAAATTATTTCTGAAATACGATTAGATGTGGCTAATAAGAAGACACCTAAAAGGTGATATTATTAGTTTCCATTTTCACAACTCTTAAAGGAAAGGTTTTGTATGATAATCTTGATTGTTGTAATTTTTGGTAGGTCAAAAAATCAATTCCGCATGAAAAGCTTCAATTCGAATTTGTTTTATCATTTTCTTCCTTTTTAATGTCGGAAGTTAGCTCCTATTTTTAGGAATTCTCCAAGTAAGAGTAAAACATAGGCAAAATGTAAAAAATAGGAATACCATATTTTGAATAAGAGTAATTTTAGTGTTTGGGCTTCTGAAAAATTATCCATTTGTGATAAAATTTAAAAAGGAGATGACATCTTTTATCACTGCCCTAAAACCACAAAATTGATACCAACAAGTTCATTTCGCAACTCCAAGTGCCTTTTCTTATAATCCATGCACATCTCCAGGACTTGAGCCAACACACTATAATGCTTTTTACCCACCACGTAGCTTCTAACTCCCAGATTAATTTTGTGCGAATCAATTGACATGATATTATCCGTGAGTTCATCAAAGTGCTAATAATTGAAAATAACTCAATGCTAAATGATGATGCCGCAATATGTACAATGATCAAATTGTCCTCACTCTCACATTGTTTATACACATATCTAAGTCGAGCGAGACGTGAAATCAGTTTATGTCCAATCCGTGCTGCCATCTATGTCAATTTCATAGTGCCTATAGAACAAAAGAAGAAAGAAAACGTTAATATATTGTCCAAGTGGTGAGTGGTGACCCGATAATTATTACTGAGAAATTACAAGTGGCCAAACCCCTAATGTTTGTCCTGCCTACGCCGCTTAGTTTACCCCTGAGGCGCTCGGTAGTTCTGGTTAGAAGTCAAGAACAATGGGGCCAGCAAGTCTGGCATTCAAGTGGGGTTGGCCACTAGCAATCTCTTGCATAAACTGAATTTGGGTAGCTAGTTTGCGATGAGATTTAAAAAGATGAAACCACACACTAACATAAAGTTGATCCTCAGGGTCAAATGCGAGGAGAAGACGACTTTGTTCGCAGCCAGCAAGACAGTGATCCCTGTTTGTTGGCATCAACATAAGTGGCAGATGTATCTATATTATACTCCTGAATATGAAAGTTTTAAAAATAATAAATGATACTCATAAAATGAAATTTCAGGAAAAGGAATTACTTTATTGAAACTCTCCTCCTTCAATAATTCTAGGGACTCAGCCAGCTCTACTTGTTGTGATGCTGTTGCAAACAATGCCTAGAACATGGAAGGTTAACTTAAAACCATAAATACATTAATACATTTCAAAGAGAAATAAATCACAATGATGGGTGTGTTTCTTTGCTTACTTTCTTTGTCTTCTGCAAATCATATTCAATTGACTTGATGCGGTCCAATGAATCTAGCAGCATATGGTTCTTCTCAGGAGGAATCTCCGTGGGTTTTTTTAACAGCTCAGAAACTGCCTTTTCCAAATTTTGCAGCCTCTGGCAACAGGGATGAAGGAGGTCCCCTTTTGGAGGGGAGGTTGAGTTTTGCTCTTGATCTGTATTTGACCTGTCTAATTTTTTCTTTACACATACTCCACTAATTCGATGCTGAGAAATGTATATCCATCCTAGTAACTTAATTAGGATGTCGATAAAAAATCTAAACATCGATTTCCTTTCAACTCGTGAAGTTCCATATGTAGAACCTGTTCCAGAAGAAGTAAACAAGAAAGATTTGTTGCTTAACCAATGATGTAAAATAAACTTCTTGTTTTCGGATAATAGCATTTTTGTTTGTTTCCTTAACAACTCCATCCAGTTCACAATAACTGCCGTTTTATAAAACCGTGACAGTCCATGTGGACTGAAATAATGGATTATGGCAGTCCATGTAAACAGAATATTTCCTCAAAGAACTCTTGTGCAGGAAGTAGCAATGATTGGGGGGGCAGGGCAATGGGGTGAAATGTGATGCTTGAATTTTAATGGAAGAATAACAACCACCATGATGACTAATTTTCCATATATATATATAGGAGAATGTTTTCCTAAGGCCTAAAACTTACAAGCTTTAGGTCTCTTTCATTTGAGGTGCTTCCAGGTCGAATATTTTTACAAATTTTTTTGAACATGTTCTCCATGAAGTATAGATTATCTCCACCAAATTTCAGATTAAAATTCAAACGAGAAGTCAGTTCAATAAATTATTGAAAAAAACTGCTTTTTATATGCATATAAAACTGCACAATTTTCAATAATTTATATATCTGACTTCTCGGTTGAATTTTAAACTAAAATTTGGTAGACATAGTGTGTCCTTCATTGAGAAAATGATCATAAAATTTCATCAAAAAATTCGATCTGGAAGTACCTCAAATGAAGGAGGCCTAAAATTATTATCTTAGGAGAACACTATATGTATATATATATATATATATATATATATATATATATATAGAGTAATGCTCAGGTCCAGCCGGAGAGACGGGAGGCGCCGTCCGAACTCCACTGTTTGGGGCGGTTCCCAGTGGAATTTTTCGATGAAATTTTTTGAGCATGTTCCTCATCGAGTCTAGTTTATCTATACCAAATTTCAACTCAAAATTCGATAGGGAAGACATTCAAATCATTTTGTAAAGTTGACTGCGCCAAAATATACATATAAAAACGCAGTCAACTTCAAAAAATGATTTGAATGTCTTCCCGATCGAATTTGGAGCTGAAATTTGGTATGAACAAACTAGACTTGATGAGAAACATGCTGAAAAAATTTTCATCAAAAAATTCCACCGGGAACTGCCCCAAACGGCGGAGTTCGGATGGCAGTTCGGACAGGAGGGGGGCTGGACAGGATCTTTTCTGTGTGTGTGTATCAGCTCAAATGTGCAGCAAGGCTGGATATGGTTAAAGCCGGCCAGCCACTGCTTTAAGTTCACCCACTTGTTTTTTTGCTGGCACGTGTGACAAGTCTAATAAAAAGAGAGGTGCTAAGTAGAACTAAGAGAGAAGTATTAAAATAAATAAAATTGCTCCCAAGTCATCCAATATTCCAATGTAGGTGCTTTTCTTGGACTGATGACCACCAGTCTGCTTAGACCCCTTTGGCCCACACAACTACTTAGCCTACTTTTATATATATCCCCAAATAAAACTCAAAAGAAGTTGAACTACTACAATAATGGGTAATCATATGTAACATCCGTACAAGAACCAATCATATTACTTACTTGACGAGTTATAATTTTCAACTATACTCCCATTATCTGGTTGTTCATCTATCTTGCTAAGAGAATCAGTACACCTTTCTGTTTCCTGGGGATTGAAGTATTGAGCATGATTACTAAATGAAGAAATAAACATCTGATTTGGAGTAAGAGGTAATTTTTCTTTACACTTGTGCACACAGATGGAGAGAGGGAGAGAAAGATAGAGAGGGAGAAAAGGTGATACTATGTGTAAACAACATTACCCTTTTTTATCATAATAGCACCAAAAATAGCTTCTAACCGCTAAATAACAACCATAGACAGAATATACCACTGCTAGCAATGTGTGTGAAATGCTATACAGATCATGAGACATATGTTTAACAGGTAATAGAGTTATACAGATCATGAGGCATAAACTTACTTCATTAGTCCAAAATTGAATTGGTTTCTTGCCACTGTAAGCGTAAAACCCCACATCTGCCCCTGGTTCAGCATAACCAGTCTCTCTATTTGGTAACTATTCAAAGAAGCTGTCTCAGGTAATTGGCATGTGATATATTAATAAGCAAGCACTGGCAAAGTTTCTTACAGATAAAGAAAGTGGCTTGATTTCTATATCTTCACTGTCAGAAAAACTTCCAAGCTTTCTATAAGTGGTTTCCCCATGTAAAGCAGAAACCAACTGCAAGGATAGAAAGCAAAATATCATCATCAAGTGCGTTAATCAAGTAAATATATCAAAGCCTAGTTTGGATGGTAGTCAACATACCTTCATCAACTCTGGATCATCCCAAGGTCCTTTATCAGATCTCATACACCCGCCCTCATTTGGGCACACACAGTTTCCTCCTAGAAAATCTGGCAATTGGCTGCTCAATACACATAAATTAGAAAAGAAAAAACCTAAAAACTACTACTTTAAGGATAAAGCACCAAACTGCTAATATGATTTTTTATAATCTCAGAAAACTACTACTCACTTAGGGTCTATGATTTCCAGTAATTTGCTCTGGAATTTGCTTCCTAAGACCTGTGAATGCATTAAACCTCATGTTAGTTCACTGTTTAGTGTGTTCCCTAGGCACAAAACCATGTCGCTAAATATTATTTTACATGTATCTTTGCTGTCGTCCGTGGATCAAGAAAGCCTTTTACTGTGTTCCATATCAGTCTAAATCCACTTCCAGCATTAACAATGAACATCTGGTGCAATGTCTGCACAAATTGAGCCAAATTAACAGCTAGAATAAAGAGAAATGGGAGGGTAAAACAACCGCTACAAATTACTACAAATTACTATTATTCCACACAATGATAATAGAAGCACCTCGGGATAGTTGTCACCGTCTATTTTTTGTATGCGCATGACTAGATCATGTGCAAGCTTGCCAAAACTTCTCCAGTTCTGAATATTTACAGAAGAAGAAAAAGTTATAAAAAGAATAAAAAACAAATACGAAATACAACTTTGATGCAACAAATACAAGACATACCATCCCATGGACATCAAGGATTGTGGTTGAAGAATCTATATGCCTCTTTGCTGCAATTGAACATGCTGGAAACTTTTGAGAGAAGGTCTTTTCAAACCCTTGAATATGATACTTCAAGAACCGGTCTACTGTAGTGACACTCATAAGCCTACTCGGATCAACTTTGCCAAGTCTTTCAATATAAACAGGCCGTCCCCCTTTATCTACGCCATGGTAACCATGAGGGTAGTAACGCTGAACTTCTTGGAATTCGTCGTAGTTAAAATCCTAGAACATTTTGTTTTCAAAGCATTAATCAGAAGGTTATTGACCAATTGTAACATTATCTGCATCTACACATGCTTTGTGAAAACATAATCATTAAAACAAGCAGCAATTACATAATTAGATAAAATATTGAATGCAATTTCCTTTGATTGAAATGAAGATCTTGAATTCCAATTCCATTGATTGAAATGAAAATCTTTTATCAGAAATGCATAAATAATTCAATTAAACTGACCACAAACAACAATCATTTGAGGAATAGTTCAGGACTGAGCACATGTTGATGCAGGATGGATACCTGTAAAATAGTATCCACTCCATTCTCTTTTCTCCAGTTGAGCATTTCAGCCCACATTTGGACTGTCTTGTCAAGATCAAACTTCCTTGCTTTTAAAAATCTGTAACAATGTTCATGCAGTGGATTTATAACCTAAATAAGGGCTCAGAAGAACAACATAAATGCAGTTACTGAGCAACTCAAGATGTTGGGGGAGTATGGAATACCCCAGGTCAATTATTTTATTAATTAAACTGGGGTATAGAAATTTCCATCAATTGCAATGGAGCCAAAGACTCACTAGTTTTTGGCTTGGGAATATGATGGAATAAAGCAAAATGGCTCACTAAACTGTTTGCGCTTCTTTGTTATGAAGCAACATTCCGTCCATGCAATTGTCAACGCGAATTTCACTATGGGTCATCACTATGCTTTAGTATAGTGGTAACACTGCGTACATCCGACCCCCCCCTACCCCACCGTAGGTGGGAGCCTTTGCGGCACTAGGGTGATGATGATGACGACGATGATGAACCCGAGCTATAGAAGGGACCAGTGATGAGTGATCTTGTTCCCAAAGAACTTGGGAATGTGACCTGATATTATTTCTAACTTGATAGTGGTTGAGGGACGCAAGAAGCCTACAACGGCTACAAGGTAAAGGTAAGACTTGGATACATTACGTACTCACCATATTCGCTCAACAATATAGAAATTCCCTAGCTTGAGCTGCCAGTCATAGATCAATTGTAAGAGAGTTTTATCATGGTATTGCCCCAAAGACCAGTAAACTTTCTCTTTCTGGTTTCCATATAGATATTGTTGGATAGGTGTTGCCTGTCTGGTAATGATTCATTTGTCCTTTGATACAGCGGATGCATGATTTATGTGTCTTTTATATTTTGAATTTAAACATGTTGACTTATTTAGAACAATATGAGGTGTTACGAGGTACAAATCAACCCATAATACTAGTATTTTCATTAAGTGCAAAAGTTAAACCTTGTACACTCAGACACAGGTATGAACCAAGCAGTTCAACCTATTAAGTCAATTTATGAAAATCATGCTGCACATCTTCGGGTGTGTAGCATTAATGATGCCACTTTATTACAAAGATTAAAAGATTTTTAAAAATTGTTGTAATGAATGCATTTCGTACTTCCTTCAAAGAGCTCGAAGTGGGAGTTAATTAATCGGGAAGCATCAGTAGCTCTCCTTTAATTCTGTAAGCCCAGAAATAAAAAAGGGCATTGGAGCTCCCATTTCTACTGACAAAAGAGATCCAGTTAAGGTGTATATCGAGAATATTAAAGAACCAGTGAAATAGAGTAGGTATCATCACATTAGAGGTGTTTAAGCAGCTGAAAAGACGGCCATTAATTGCACAAGTGATAACTCAGGTGACATTAATACAGAGAATTAATATACATACCTGAGCATGGTATGATAGTCATCATGGCGAGGGGGGAGGAGATCCTTTTCAATCAAGACCCTACGAAATGTATTAACCGCCTCCTCTTCCTTCTCATCCCGAAAATCTTCCGTTGAAATGGATGCGAATCGACAATGAGCGACGCGCTTGCTGCGTTTTCTGAGAGTGTGCGTTAGTTTAGTGGAAGCACTCATCGCCTTCTTCTTCAAAGATCTGATCCTCGTTCTTCTTTTCTCGTCCTCAGTGACCTCAAAATCGGACCTTTTGTCCCTATCCTCTTCCGGAGCTAAAACAATCTCTGCAAAAAACATAAATGAGCGCAGATCCGGAACTGATTCAACTAACTTCATTCAATCCTTCTGAAATTACCTGCCATTCTGCTACAAATTCAATGCTCGGTCACATAGATATACATTAACACAATACCTGCAATTATTAAAAAATAAACGCCGACACAAATCTCAGATCTCGCAGGAGACCTTCCAGGTTCATAATGAAGAAACGGTAGTAAAAAACTCCACAAAAACAGTAAACAGGGGATACTTAAATAGCATTAAATAAACATCCAGGCATTTCATTCTGCAATTCTACATGATCCGAAAATCGGCAATAATCAATGTATTTCAGTTCTTCGCGGCGGTCTACCTTACAGAGAAGCCTCCTCATTCACATTCACACAATAGAGCTGATCAATATAAACGCTCTCTTCTCTCTCTCCTCTCTCTCTCTCGAGAAGCTAACCTTGCTTCGGATCCACTCTCTCTCTCTCGGTAAAAGGGGAGAGAGAATACCCGTGAAAACGTTCCTTTCCGTTTACGAGGGATGGTTTATCTCACAGAATGTTTCTCTCTCTAGAGCAAAAAGGAATAAAAGTACAAGAGTGTACGAATATATATGTGGCGGGGGAGGTGGTGGGGTATATCTATCTACGTACGGAGCATTTGCTGGCATGTGACGGGAACGGGAAGCTAGTGGCGTAGCACGGCGGCCGTTGGCGGAGGTTGAGCTCCGTTTCGGTTGGCGCCGCGGGAGATATTCCTCTGACTTTTCCAAGCTACTGAAAGGTCGCAGTCATTCTCTTTTTACAGAAGAAAGCTCCCAGCTTTTTAACGATTCAGAATGTTGTTTAAAATTTTTTGGATATAGGTAAAAGCTGAACATACTTTCTACCGTTGGATCTCGAGGGATTGATTGAGACTGTATTTTTCGATGAACTTATGTCCGTTATCATTAGATACATTACTTTTGCTCTCAGGGAATGTGTGTTCAATAATTACTTATTTGTTTTATTATTAGCGTGTTGAAACGGAAATAATTGTATTCTATTGAAACGGAGGTAGATACATGCACAACCAAATTTGAGGTTGTGTTTGAGATTTAGCAGTTAGCAATTACTAGGTAGAAGAATAAGTTAGCGGATGGATAGAAAATGTTTGGTAATTTAGCTGTTTGTCCATAACAATTAGTAGAAAACGTCATATTTCAAAACGCGAATCCAAAACTATTCTATTTTCAGTATTTCCATGTTCAGCGGTTTCGTTCAAAAACTCTAGAGTCGAACAACTATTTACCAAACAATGTTTTCACTTATCGAAAACATTAAAAGGAGTCAAACCGCCATTTTTGAGCTGAAACGTCATCTTCCAAACACATCCATAATGTACCAGTACTACTTATATACTTTGTATATTATTGGTGAAAGTTAAGATGTTTTATTTTGGACTAAAATTTGCTGGTCTGGTCTAGTCTGATCTAGTCTAAACTGGTTTGGTCTGGTAAATGTTTGGTCTTTGTGTATTTTATAACTGTTCAAGTGTGACCCGGACTGATCTAATCTGTTTAAGTCTAATCTGATCTGGTCTGGGACGAAAAACAATCCCAAAAAAATATCCTTTCATTCTTGAACATGAAATAAAAATGTTGCAATTAAAAAAGAATAAAATGATATATATTGTGAAATTTCCCGTATGAAAGAGAATGAGAAATGAGAAGATGGTAGCACATACATTGTGAGGTTGATTTGTAGGGATGAGATCCACTCAAAAAGAAAGGAAAAAACCTTTTGTACACGAAATACAGACATACACGTTTTTACATTGTCTGTGCACAGTGTTTTTACAAACAAAAAAATAGCCTTCACAGACAGTGTAAAAATGTACCCCCGTCCCGCTAGAAGGTTCCCGTTACGGTTTACGATGCTTGACTGACGATAAAACAACTTAATCAGTGTTCACACTCTGATTATTTTTAGTAAATAAATTTACATATTCAGAAACTACATTAAAACCGCTACAAAGTCTGATAAAAAAATGTGAATTTGATAAAAAATTTGATATATAAAACAAAAGATTAAAAATGATTTAAGTTGACTATATGAATAGTGGACGAGAAACTTCTAATGGGACGGAGGGAGTATGTGGCGAGGCTCAAAAAATTAATCTTTTCTATGCTCATCACGAACCGTTATTTTTACTCATTTTGATGCGTTTTTACACTTTTTGAATTTCGGTCAACTTATGTCAACGATAAAATATCAAACAAAAAAGTGGTTGAAAGTTTTTTGACAGCACAAAAAATACAATCATTCGTAATTCTCACAAGAAATATCCACTCCAACAAAAGGGGTCCTCTTTTTTTTTTTTTTTGATAAATACAAAAGGGGTCCTCTTATAATCTCATATAAACTCTATTCAATGAAAACTTGTCCGTAAAGAAGTAAACGCGTACCAATCAAAGAAATGTTTCACCGAATAAGTTAAAATTGGTTTTGGAACAAAATGGCAAAAGAAATGAACCACAAGTTATGATAATACTCTTTTGGTATAACAAAAATCAAAGGCCTTCCAAATAAGGGAACTTCAAATCCAATTTAATAATACGTCTGGGTGTCCCATACCATGTGCTAAGAGACCATTTGTGAATTGTGAGGTTGTGACACATGCATGATTAAGGGCAGTGCAAAATGAGGTAATGGATGGAGATAGGTATTGATTTTGGCTTTCCTGCTGGAAGCTTGGTCCGAAAGTGAACTGCAAATCTCTACCCCATTCTATAATCCATTTGCACACTCCATGTGGGCTGTGGCATCAAAATACATACATTGTGAAACAAAATTATATAAAAGGCGTTACCGTCATCCTTGTAAGACATTGTCAACTTTGCATTGTGATCAGAAAAGTAAAAATCGTATGATTAAAATATGTTCAAAGAAGAGATAAATGAGTCGAATCACAAATTCATTATTTTAAAAGAAAATTTACAGAGTTCTTGTGACAAATAAAAAAGAAAGTTACATACAGAGTTCTTGTGACAAATAAAAAAGAAAGTTACATGACAAAAGTCTAATGGGACGGAGGCGTATCCAATGCGGGGGCAGTGAGGGCACCTCACACCTGCCTCTCTCAACCCCAATCTAATCCCTACATATATAAAAATATAACATTTTACAGAAAATTGCTTAAAATAGGAATTAAATACCGTAAATATTCCAAAATAGAATTAAGAGTGTTTGCTTCTTAGGGTTTATGTAATCCTATTAAATGAGTATGTACAAGGATAAAAAAACACTAAATTTTATTATCTTTAACTTCTACGAATGTGTTTTTCTCTAATTTTATCTAAAATTACATCTTTGTATATACGAAACCTAAATTGATCTTCTTTTTATACACATTTAGACATTTATCACTTAAACTAAGTCTAAACAAACAATATTGATAATGCAATACGTAGTATGTTATTTGAGGAACATGTGACTGAATTCTATTGTAAGTTTGTCTCCTATCACAAATGGATACGACATGGATGTAGAGCTGTCAAACGGGCCAACCCGACCCAACCCATAACGGGTTATGTTTTATATGGGTTGGGTCGGGCCAACCCGTTTAATGACGGGTCAGGATTTCTACAACCCTAACCCAACTCACCTAACCCGTGGGTTAAACGGGTTGGCCTGCGGGCCAATGTAAAAAATATAAAACGATTTTTTTAAAAAAATAATAATTACCCGGAAGTATATATTTATATTAGCATGTAGTAACAAAGGAAATATAAGAAATCAAAATACTAAAAATTCAATACTTGTTAAGTTTAATTAAAAATATTAAATACTAGTTATACGAGAATTTGAAAACTATAATAGGCTATGCGACAAAAATACTCATTATATAAAAATAAAGATTTACATAAATTTTTTGATTAATTATTTGCAAATAATGACTACTACGTAGTAATTGTTAAATATTGTATCGAACTTCACAAAAAATATATGTTTCAACATTTTATTTGAATATTTATTATAGAAATAAAAGAATAATACTATTTTAATTGTAATTATAATAATGTTGGTAGCAAAAAAAACAATATTTTAGATAATAAAATTCAAAACTATATTTTTGTATTTTGGCCCGCGGGCCAACCCACTAAACCCGCGTGGGTTGACCCGCGAAACCTGTGAACTAAATGGGTCAGCAATTCTCAACTATAACCCACCAATAAATGGGTTTAAAGGATCATCGCACGGATTTTGGCCCATTTTGACGGCTCTACATGGATGACGGTCGGTATTACTAATTTACTACTCCGTATTACACATGACAAAAGTTTGTACAAAAACTTTTCAACCACAGGACCTCATCAATGCGAGCTCCTTATTTCAGATTATACTATCGTATACTCCGTATATCAAAGACTTTGGACCATACAGTCATTGATTAGATCATTTGTAGTGGTTAAGAGCATTTTTAATGCTAAAACGTTAACAGTGCATACGTGGGCTGAAGAATAGTCAATCAAAAAATGATAAATAAAATATCTCTCTTCTTATTTGAAGGATCTTATATCATTTTTGTAAGTTTTTCTTTACAATGTCAAGCACAATGTCTAGATGTAGACATTGTGATTGACAATGCAGAGAAAAACTTACCAAAAACACATTGGGCTGTGGAAAGACGGAGAGAGAAATGTCATAAAATTAATCTTTTATGTCTATCTCTCTCATGCCACATGTGCACTGCATCGTTCACATTGTAACGTTGGAGGTGCTCTAAGGATTAGGAGTCAAAAGATTAAAAATGGAACTTTTAGACTCCTAATTAGGTGTAGTGGTGGATTAGAAGGGAGAGTAAAAGTGGGAAGGGGAATGGATGAGTGTAAAAATAGAGGGTTGTATTGAGAGGGCAAAAAAAAATTGAAAAGAAAAGAAAAGAAAGTGGCGGTCGGCTCCAAGGCGTTGCTATGGTTCAGTTGACATCATAATGACCTCACGCAGATGTCATCATAATCCCAAATTGTTTTAACTCTTATAACTTTTTTATTTGTTCTCCAAAATTTTCAAAAAGTATATCAAAATTCATGAATTTTTATGATCTTTTATATGACATCCATATGCGATATATAAAATGAATTTGTTTTTTTAGTTTTAATTGTTGGAGTTTTCTTGAGCTAAAAAAACACAAATTTTTAATTCATGAAGCCTTCACAAATAATTTAATATTTCATAATCGAACTTTACTTAAACTAATTCATTTTGTTAACCGAAAAACGTTAAAAAAATTTAATAAAAATCACTACGTACTTGTTTTTACATCAAAATGTGTATTTTTATTTCATAACTATTCAGGGATAAAATTAAAAGTAAAACATTATTTATAATAATTTTTTACTAATTTGATATGTAAAAATATGCAGAGTGTATTTTATTGACGGTGCACGAATGCAGAGAAAAACAGTATTAACGGAGTCTGAACACCATTTTCATATGGATGGAGTCCAAATTTGACAATTTAGACTCTTGACCACTACAAATGGTCTTAGTCATGACACAATTTTGTCCACAACGTCCAAAAGAAAACAATTTTCTCACCCTTTAAATATAAAAATTTGGGTACTAGAGAAGTACGTAGAGAGTACAACACCCTCA